TTTGCACATTCGGTGTCCATTACTTTAAACAAAAATTGGGCATTCAGATCCCTTAGGCAGCTATGAGAACCCCAGCTCCCTATAAACAGATAAATCACCGAAGGACAATTTCTGCCTTTTGGGACTAAAGGAAAAAAAACCTACAGCTGAGCACTTATACTACAAGAGAGAGTTCATTGCTCTGTTGCTGTAGCAGGATCTCAGGCTGAACAAATCTTAGGCTGTGTCTACACTGCCACTTTCAGCGCTAAAACTTTAGTCATTCAAGGGTGTGAAACCCCCCCCCTTCATCCCCCCCACCCCGAGTGACAAAAGCTTTAGCGGTGAAAAGTGCCAGTATGCTCCCGGCGATAAAGCCACCACTGCTCGTTCGGGGTGGGGGGTTTTATGCTCCCGGCGATAAAGCCACCACCGCTCGTTCAGGGTGGGGTTTTTTATGCTCCCGGCGATAAAGCCACCACTGCTCATTCGGGGTGGGGTTTTTTATGCTCCCAGCGATAAAGCGTGACTACACTGCCACGGCCACGCTGTAACATGGGCAGTGTAGACATACCCTTAGGGTAGATAGGGTAACAGCTAACCCTTCCATTTGCACAGCCACTACTCTGCCCATCCACAGCTCCTGCTCACCTGCATGGGGAGATGGGAGGTGGGGGGTTCATGCACAGACTGAAGGGCAGAATTGGGATATAAGTTCCCCCTGCCCAGCTTTGCATTCTGGTTTTCCTGCAAGCAGCCAAGTTACATATGTCGGCGCTCCAAGCCCAGCTCACTGAGACTCACAAGGTGTTTCAAACTGAGCCAGGCCGATCCCCAGGGAACAGTTCAGAATCACAGTAGACTGGGATCCCTGCGTGAGATCTGAAGGGGTGAAACCACTTGGCACTTCTTGGCTCAAACATGATCATAATTTATTCAGCTTCCTCTTCCCCTCAGCCCAGCTCCCATTGAAACTCCTCCAAACATTGAATCAAAGCCCCTTAATCCCTGTATCTTTACTTTTGGTTTTGTTTATATCTATCTATCTATCACCAAATTCCCTCCTTTTGTTACTTCACCTTTCGCTCTGTGTTGCCTCCAGAAGCAGTAACTGGCCAGGCCAATGAGAACAGGCAGGAGAGCCAGGATCACCCCCAGAGCCACCATCCAGGGATTGACCCTCGGGAAAAACAGCTCTGCAAGAGAAAGTGCCATTGACTTGGGAGCAAACACGCGCAGAATGAAGGCAGGACACAGTGACAGTGGTGATGCTGTGACTAGTTAAGAGTCTCACAGGGAAATGTGGCTGCTTTGTGCTTTATTATTAAGCCAATGAAAACCCAAGCTTTAGCCTGATTACTGAACATGGTTAATTAATGGGAGGGGGTGTGTTGAGGGAGGGGAGAGGGTAGGGAGGAGGTAGGGGGCAGCTCCATTATGCTACACCATCCCCCACTGGCGTAAGTTCAGGCATTCCCTAGGCTGCTCTAACTGATCCCAAGGCCGAAGCCAGTGCAGACTGGATCTCAGAATCAGAGAGTTGTGAGGCACCTCCTGACACCCCTGTGCTCACTGGGGTTCAGATACATGAAAGAATCTGGCCCAAAATATGTTAATGCAGGATTTTAATAAAAACAAAACTGAGCCTGGAGATTCAGAGTAAAAATTCCCCCAGCGTCCTCTTTCCTGGGCCTTGGAGCAATGGCTGACTAGAGGGTTCTTGCTAAGTGATTAGTGCGGTGTATTGAAAACCATGTAAAAATTACAAGTTGATACTTGAAATCCTGAGGGGATTCCTGGTCCTGCTTGCAGGCTAGGGGGCTCTGTAGGGAGCGTGCATCTGGGTCCTCTGCAGTCAGTCTGCAAAGAGCCAGCCTAGAGCAGGGTGGTTTTGGTTCTGCTTCTCTGCCTTAGGGAGCAGCCTGCTTTGTCTCTCTCTCTGTATTTGGCTCTGGTGTGTTAGAGTTCTGGATTCTTAGCAATAAAGCAGTGTGACATTGCAGCCTTTCAGGAAGAGTGTTTATGTTTTGTTTCTAACTCTCCGTGTGTGCTGTGAACATAACAATCAGGTAATACTGGGCATATCATAGACTAACCAGCAGTGCAGCACTATGAGACCTCAGACAAATAGTGCTTTACAAATACAACATTCTTACTATTATAGTGATAAGATATTCATTCGATAGTAACCAAGTTATTTGGTAGATAATAACACATAAAATCACAACCTTTTTTTCTAAAAATTAAGGTGCTCTTAGGTAAGATTTTGTTTCTGCATATTTTGGGCCTGAACTTTTATTGCTGGTAGTTTCAGATTTAATCTAAGTAGCAATGCTCAGGCCATATTCAGGGCTCTCTTGTGCTAGTCAGGAAAAATGACTTTATTACCCAGATTTTCATAAATATTTAGCACCCACAACTCTCACTGAGAACAAAGGAGAATTCCCTCCCCCAGCCCCACAGAGAATTGTGATGTTCACAGCGTGTGCGCGTATGCACACACACACACACACACACACACACACACACACACACACACACACACACACACACACACACACACACACACACACACACAC